CTGAGTTTCAAGTAGCCAAGGTAAAAAAACAAAGTGACCACTAAATAATTCTCACTAGAGTAAAGGAGAAAACACATCCCGGAGAAAACAAGAATTGATAATAGATGGCATAGCTTCTGGATGATGAGTATAGGCAGACATTTAAAAAAGAATAAAGATTAGACAAGAGAAATAGTGTTAAGGAAAAGATACAAAATTATATGTACATTCTAATGCAGTGATATAAAAACACAGTATATATGGAAAAAAAGACTAGAAGGTCATACACAACCTTCTCCCCCACAATACTGATTTGTTTGACTGCAGTGACCTTATTATATTCTTCTGTACTACAAACATAGTCTTCTCTACCAAGCTAAACGCGAGGCATACAGTAGTATAATATTTTTAAATATATTAAAATGTCTTTATTTACTTGACTCATTTAAGATAATATTTGGCTTACAAGATAGAAATACTCAATATACAAAAGAACTAATGAATATAAAGTATTTTGTAACAAAGAACCCATTACTGCCACATCATAAATAGCAAGGTTGATTATAGACTCCTTCCATAGTTGTCAAGAACCAACAAGCCTTTCTCACCCCACAATTTTGTTTTTTCCACTCCATGTATGTTTCAGATTCTTCCTTAAGGCTCACAAGATGTTAACTACAAAAAAGTGTTATTGTTACTCCCAGACAAGAAATCATATAAACAGCATTTTTAAAAATCTTTCATTCATGTTGGAAAAACCAAAAACATATCCTACATAGTTCAAATTTTGAAAAGAGACCAACTAGAAATCTCCAAAATCAAACATGACCACAAAACTGTTAACAAAATTTTTATAGACTCAACTTCTCAATATTGTGAAATCATACCACAACCTGATGATTCCAAACTATGTCCTTCATTCAGCTCCTACTTCTTGACGTTTTCTTGCTTCTCAAATAGCAAGTAACTACAAACCAAAATTTCCGCTTTTAACATAGGAAGTCATCTTCAAAGGAGAACTTGGACTTTTACTGTGGCTACTTTTTAAAGAGGATATGTGCCCTAAAATACGTATCAATTAGAATTGACAGACAGTCTTTAAAATTAAAGACTCTAACATACAAATATAAACAAGGAAATTGGACAAGATACTGTTATCACATTGCATGCAAAAAATGGCACTAAAGAGAAAAAATTGCACCCATCCTTCCTCTATTATCATTATCAGTAATTTCTATGGCCTTAAAGAAGTGTTTATTTAAAAACAGATGTTAGGAACACTAAAAAACATTCAAAACATTTTAAAAGTTTAAGACAATGAAAATAAAAACAGATGTCACGCTACAGTAACTTGAACAAAAAATATGATATACTTTTTAAAAAACTGATAGAACTAAAATTAAATAGTCCAGATATTCTGTTGCTTATCACATAAAAAAGAATTCACATACTCTGACATACACCTATTTACATTTGTTTTCGTCTTTTAAAAAACATATTCCCAGTCCTGGTTTCCCAAAAGGATAAGGCATTGGTGATACTTAAAGATTACCTTCTACCTCTACTTTTTTTAAAAAATAAGGAGCTTTGTTCTCCAAATAAATAAATAAATAAATAAAAATAAAATAAAAAATAAAAATAAGGAGCTTTGACTAATATTAAGAGATTTGAGGGAGGGAAAACTAAGAAAGTAAAATGAAAAAAATAGTCAAACATTTCTCCCACACACACATTTTTTTCAGATATTTAAATGTGGTAAAATGAAGACTTGGAAGAAAATTTTAAGATACAGTTAGATTTCATACTATACCCAGTTAAGGCTTAAAGAAAAACAAAAGGAAGAGAGAGGAAAGCAATTAGATGGAAGAGAGAAAAAGACTCCAAGGTATCAAAGGAAAAGGGGGTAAGTTCCAAAGCATTAGTAAAAGAAGACTACAGCCTCAGCTCATAGACCAAGAGATTTAGTGTTATGAGTTTTGTGCATCTGAATGGTCAATTTTGATTAACTACAGTTTTAAGTTTTTTTGTTTTGTTTTGTTTTTAAGATTATATTTATTTATTTGACAGAGAGAGAGACAGCGAGAAAAGGAACACAAGCAGGGAGAGGGTCAGAGGGAGAAGGAGATTCCCTACTGAGCAGGGAGCCCGATGCAGGGCTCGATCCCTGGATCCTGGGATCATGACCTGAGCCGAAGGCAGACGCTTAACTGACTGAGCCACCCAGGCACCCCAGTTTTAAGTTTTTTAACGATTATTTAGACAACAAGATTTATTTCAAAATGGGATGGCAAACTCCCAGGAGGAGAAATTCTTGGTGGGATATTGTATTAATAACAAAAATAAAGTTTTCAGATTAAATTTAGTTCAAAGACCATATCTATTTGAAGAATTTCCTCATCCCTTGCCTAGAGAATTAGAAATCCTTTTTAAATGATACCTTATTTTTAAAAATTACTTTAAATTAAGAAGGAAAACACTAGTAATCAGTACTTCTGAGAGAGAAATGAAAGGAAAAATACCACAGAGCATAACAATTCCAAAAAGCTGGATATGACTCACTAGTCTGGGTAACAAATCTTAATTAAAAGCCTACTTTATTTTGTTTACATTTACAAGAAAGGAACAGGAAACAGATTTTTTAAATTTTAGTAATAAAAGGGATAAAGTGTATGTGAAAAAAAATTAGTAATTCATTCCATTTAGTGACCTTTGTGAAAAAAGCAGCAGTTATCAAGATTTTATTTATTTGGTTGGTTGTTTACAGAGACAGCATGGGCAAGGGGAGGGGCAGAAGGAGATAGAGAATCTCAAGCAGACTCCATGCTGAGTGTGGAGCCCAACTCGGGCTCCTGGGTGGTTTAGTCAGTTAAGTATCTGCCTTTGGCTCAGGTCATGATCCTGGAGTCCTGGGATCGAGCCCTGCATGGGGCTCCCTGCTCAGCAGGAAGTCCGATTCTCCCTCTTCCCCTCATCCAGCTCATGTTCTCTCTCACTCTTTCTCTCTCTCAAATAAATAAAAACTTTAAAAAAAAAAAAAAGAGTCAGACGCTTAGCCAACTGAGCCACCCAAGGTGCCCTAGAAGTATCTCCTTTGAATGTCAGAAAGATGGTTTCAGGTAATTCGTCCTATAATATCTCCCTTATCATTGAAACAGATTACTTAATGTATAAAAGGATTCTAGAAAAGAAGTTCCCTTCTAAGTTAAAAGAAAATGTCTTTATCCAAAACTTGGTACTCTTCAGGAATCAAGAGGAAAATACAATAAAGTAAAACAATGAGGTTGGTTCTGTCAACTGTGTCTTTAGTGTCTGGTTCTAAAATACTATAAAATCTTTGATATGAAAACACAATCGAGTTAGAATTAAAATATTATCTCCAATAGCTATTTTCCTTCTTTGAATAGAGAATGCTCAACTCTTGAAATGTACCAAAAGCTAGAAACTGCCACAAGACTGTTTCTCTAGATGAGTGGTACTCATACCAATGTGACTCTAGTAATATATTTGTTAGTGTTTGCACTGTGGAGTCCATCATCCAGCTCTCTAAGACCTTAAATTTCTATAGTAAAATCACAGAAGTCATTTGATATATTCAATGTGAACAAAGGAAGGCTAGAGCACTCTAGGTATCTACAAGCCTAAATGTTCAAAGACGTGATACATGGCTCATTTTGTCTCACTGTAGTTGGCTTCTGTTACCAAACATCCACTGGCTCCCTTCCATGACATCTGCTTAAAGCCATGTGAGTTTTCTTTGAATTCTATAATGCTTGAACTCCAGATTCCCAATGATTCGAGGTTTAGCTCTATTAGGCCATTCCAAAGTACTAGAGGGAACCGTCAATTATCACACACACTCCAAGCCTGGAATGAATGAAGGTTATCCACCATGAATTCCTATCTTTAACAGCAGGTGTCACTATGTAGCCTTAATGGTTGATGTAGGAAGACTGCTGGTCATCTCCTGCTCCCAAGATTCTGAAAGTTTACCACGCCTAGAGGGAAAACTGAAGAGCTCTCTGCCTGCTCAAATCAAACATGAAAACAGGCCATGAAGTTTCTCCCCATTTCTTTTTCTACTTTTGACTTAATTAGGTCCAATTCATTAGCCAAAAAGAGAAATCATCCTTGGAGCTTGAAACAATAGTTATTTTTAAATCAAGAATAAGATGAAATTATATTAAAAATGAAATAATTCTGAAAAATGATATTCTGTTCCCCTACACTCCCTCAGTCTTCCACTAGAAAAGAACGAAAGAGAGAATTCAGTAATTTTTTTTTTCTTTAGTAAACTCTGTGCCCAAGGTAGGGCTGAACTCACAAACCCGAGATCAAGAGTCACATGTTCTACCAACTGAGCCAGCCGGGTATCCCTAGAATTCAGTAATTTTTTTATACATACTTCAGAGCTAGCATTTTTATCACATTTGTAAATTTCAAAGCAATACAGAAAGCTATGGAACTTAGTGTAGTGGATCAAAATCAGAAGAAATGATCCACATGCACACACCCCAGAATCCTGCATAATGGATATAGCATAATATTAACTACAAAAGCTGAAAGCTAAATTTAAGAAGAGTCTTTTTTTTTTTTTTTAAGATTTATTTATTTGTCCAAGACACACACACAGAGAGAGAGAGAGAGAGAGGGAGTGAACAAGCAGGGGGAGGGAGATGCAGGCTCCGTGCTAAGCAAGGAGCCCGACGCAGGACTCGATCCCAGGACCCCGAGACCATGACCCGAGCCAAAGGCAGACACCAAACCGACTGAGCCACCCAGGCATCCCTGAAGAAGAGAGTCTTAAAGGTATCTTTGATTTAGTTATTTCTGCAGACATCAGAACCGCATGAAAATGTGAACAAAAAAGAACTGAACCTAGCTTCCAGGTCTCACTCTTCAGTCTGGGATGACGACCATTCCAACCATATATTTGGAAGCCCAGTCAAATGTCAAGATGAGTCATTGTGCTATTAGAGCCCACTCTTTAATGTGTACTTATGACAAGAAGAATTTTTACTTACTCTGGTCAGCATAGTTTTTTGCTTTGAGTTCAAGTTGTCTTGTTTGAGATTCTAAAGATTCCACTCGGGTCTGTAAATCCTTTTTTTCCTGTTCTTGAGAGTCTTCAAATTCAATGAATTTCTAATAGAAAAGAAAAGCATTATTTTCATTAGAAAAATGAAACTTTTTTAACATTATCAACTCCTGTGTTTCCTGGTATCAAGAATGACAATTAGGCATTAACTACTCAGAAAGATCTAAGAATCAGCAACTTATGTTGATTTTTTAGTTTCTCTATAAAACCTTCCAAATATAGAAGGAAAAACATGACCAAATAGTTTATGAAGTGTTTCCACTTCATATAATAGGCATTTCAAAGAAACTACATTCATCCTACTCCAAATATATGAATCCTTTAACTAGCATATTTGCATATTCATCTGAGTTGAAGACAGTTTTTTATATAATGCAGAACATGTACAACAAATGAAGAACTAAAGAAGGATGACATGTCAATAAATATCTGTTCAACAATTATTTGGTTAATAAAAAGCCTTTTAGATTACCCGAACTATGGAGTTTAAATTCCTGAGAAAAAGAGCACTTACTAGAAATAACTCCACCAATCAAATTCAATTTACTAAAACTGTTCTTGTCAAGAAGATTATTATTAAATCTAATCACTAAGTCTCAGTCTTCATCTTAATTGTTCTATCAACATCATCTGACATCTGATCACTCACTCCTTAAAATATGTATTTTTTCTAATTTCGCTTCCAGGACTTTGTTTTCCTTCTACGTTCCTGGCTGCTTCTTGGTCTTCTTTGTTGGTTCTTCCTCTTCTCCCCAATTTCTTAACATTCACAAGCTCAATCCTTGGACAACTTTTTCTCTTCATTGTTTACTCTTATTCCCTGATGATCTCATCCAGTTTCATGGCTTTAAATACTAACTATATGCTGACAACTCCAAATTTCTAGTCCAGTCTCAAGCCTAGGCCTGAATTAAACATTTGTATGTCCAATTGCCTACTGGACAACTCTGTTGATTTGAATGTCTAATAAGGATCTTAACTTCACATGTCAAAGCTTGCTCCTCCTGATCTTACCTTGCTCATTTAATTACTGTGGCCACTTGCTCAGGCTCAAGCCTTGAGTCAGCTTTGATTCTTCTCTTTCTCTAACACCTCATATCCAATCTATTAGCAAATCTACCTTCAGATCCATCCATTTTTTCATTATCTCCACCACCATCCTGGCCTGTGCCAACATTATCTACTGCCTGGATTAATGGAACAACAGCCTCCTAACTAATCTCCTTACTTCTACCCTTGCCCCTACAGTGCATTCTCAATACAGTAGTTAGAGTGACCCTTTAAATAGTCAGATGGGGCACCTGGTTGGCTCAGTCAGTAGAGCAAGCAACTCTTGACTTCGGGATCATGAGTTCAAGCCCGATGTTGGGTGTAGAGATTACTTAAATAAACACTAAAAAAAAAATAAGTAAGTCAGATCAATTCAGTCCGCTGCTCAAAATCCTCTGATTGTGGGACGCCTGGGTGGCTCAGTTGGTTAAGCGTCTGCCTTCGGCTCGGGTCATGATCCAGGAGATCGAATCCCGCATTGGACTCCCTGCTCAGCGGGGAGTCTGCTTCTCCCTCTTGTGCTCTCTGTCTCTCATTCTCTCTCTCTCAAATAAATAAATAAAATCTTAAAAAAAAAAATCCTGATTGCTTACGTTCTCCCAAAGTCCTTCCCACAGCCTCCCAGGACCAACCACAATCTACTAGACTCTTACTTATTTGACATCATCCTCTTCTACTCTTCCCCTCCCCGCCCCCACATACTCTGATTCAAGCTACCCTGCAGTTCCTTCAACACTCCAAACCTTTGCAATTGCTTCCTACAGCCTAGAATTCTTTCTCCAGATACCAAATGGACTGCCCCCTCATCACCTCCTTAACATCTTTGTTCAAATGTCACTTTAAAAAAAAAAAGACTTGGGCGCCTGGGTGGCTCAATTGGTTGGGCGACTGCCTTCGGCTCAGGTCATGATCCTGGAGTCCCAGGATTGAGTCCCACATCGGGCTTCCTGCTCAGCAGGGAGTCTGCTTCTCCCTCTGACCCTCTTCCCTCTCGTGCTTTCTATCTCTCATTCTCTCTCTCTCTGAAATAAATAAAATCTTTAAAAAAATAAAATAAAAAAGACTTTATTTCAGGGAGGAGAGCGTGCGCGCGCGTGCGTGCGCGCGCGCGCACACACACACACACACACACACACAAAAGCATGAGGAGGGGGAGGGGCAGAGGGAGAAGCTGACTACCTGCTGAGCAGGGAGCCTGTTGTGGGGCTTGCACCTGGGATCAAGACCTGAGCCAAAGGCAGACACTTAATGGACTAAGCCACCCAGGCGCCCCTATAAATGTCACCTTTTTAATAAGATTTTCTTGTGATGATATTTAAAACTGCGATACTCACTCCCTACTTCCCTCCCTGCTTTTCTTCTCTCCAGCACTTACTCTCACCTAACATACTATAAATTTTAGCAATTTATCTTATTTATTATCTGCCTTACCTCACTAAAATGTAGACTCCATGAACGCAGGGATTTTTTTTTTTAAGATTTATTTATTCATTTCAGAGAGAGAAAGGGAGAGAGCACGAGTGGGAGGGGCAGAAGGAGACAGTGAATCTTGAGCATACTCCCTGCTGAGCATGGAGCCCCACACAGGGCTCGATCCTGCGACCATGAGACCATGACCTGAGCCGAAACCAAGAGTCAGGCACCTAACAGACTGAGCCCCCCAGGCGCCCCAGGACAAGGATTTTTTTTTTATTTTAAAGATTTTATTTATTTATTTGACAGAGAGAGACACAGCGAGAGAGGGAACACAAGCAGGCGGAGCGGGAGAAGGAGAAGCAGGCTTCCTGCAGGGCAGGGAGCCTGATGCGGGGCTCGATCCCAGGACCCTGGGATGATGACCTGAGCCGAAGGCAGACGCTTAACGACTGAGCCACCCAGGCGCCCCAGGACTTTTGTTTTCTTTGCTCCTGTAGTCCCAGTGCAATGATGATGGCCCAAATATTTGTTAAGTGAATGATAAACAAATGAAAAAAAAAACTTTCAGAGTAAAAATACTGAAACCCATATAGAAAAATGTGTAGTTCACAAAAAAACTTAGATATCACTAAATACACCTTAGTTTTAATATGAAATTTTTTTGTTCATTACTTATTCTGTCCTGAAACTCTTCAGTCACTACAGTAAACACAGTTTTTTGTCTGCAGAAATTGCCTTCCTTTGGAACTTCTCCCCAGTTTCATGCTAATTCTGTTCAGCCCATACAGTTGGATTGGTGAAGACTCCCATCTCCCTAGTGGTGGGCATATGACTTGATCCAGACAGGTCATTCTTCTCTGGGATATCTTCCAGACAGGTCATTCTTCTCTGGGATATCTGCCAGTTACTAGAAAGAATACTACCTCTCTTTGGGAATCACACACTAAGAATTTAGCTGGCTTAAGCTGCAGATAGACATCTTTTCCCAACATACGGAAAGAACATGCCTGAGAAATAAAGCCAATATAAAGGAAAACAAAAATCAAGGAAGAAGAAAATCCTAATTAAAGGTACTATTTGAGTACTAGACTCAGTATTTCTTGCAGCCAGCATTTTGGAGTTGTTTTTATTTTTTTTCAGTTACATAAACAAATATATTCCTATTTTATATAAGCTTGAGATGATTTCTATCACAAGAAACTGAAAGCAGCCTAATATAGTCATCTACTTTTCCTTAAGAGCCATTTGGTTTCCTTATATTATTAGATAATGTTCTCCTTATCTTTTCAAGATTGAAACCTACAACCTCTGAAACATTGGTTCTTGATCATTCAGGGGTCCACAGACCCATCTGGTAATTTGATATATCCATGAACCATGTTTCCCCAGCAAAAATGCCCTCACCCAACCCGAATTCTGCCTATTTTTCTCAGGGACTCAGAGATCACTTAAGTCCTTCCACAAACTCCACATTTAGCACCCCTATGCCCTATACTTTTCTGTGAAAATATTCCATATTTGTGAAGCTTCTGGGAAGCATCAAGCAGCCATTGTTTACTTTTCCAGAACACTAATCTAAAGATAACTCTAAGTAGGAGTAAAGGTTATAGTAAATACAAGAAAAGAGGCAAACTGGGGGCGACTGGCTGGCTCAGTCGGTAGAGCATGCAACTCTTGATCTCAGGGTCGAGAATTCAAAAAACAGGTTCGGGGGGCGCACCTGGCTGGCTTCTCCCTCTCCCTCTGCCCCTCCTCCCCGCTCATGTGCTCTCTCTCTAATAAATAAATAAAATATTTTTAAAAAACAGGCAAACTTGAGGGGCGCCTGGGTGGCTCAGTCGTTACGCGTCTGCCTTCGGCTCAGGTCATGATTCCAGGGTCCTGGGATCGAGCCCTTCATCGGGCTCCCTGCTCCGCGGGAAGCCTGCTTCTCCCTCTCCCACTCCCCCTGCTTCTGTTCTCTCTCTCTCGCCGTCTCTCTCTCTCTCTGTCAAATAAATAAATAAAAATCTTAAAAAAAAAAAAAACAGGCAAACTTGATAAATCATCCATTCATTCATCCACTCATGCAAAAAATGTCTACTATTTACTATGCACCAGGCACATGAAACGTGACTGTGAATATCACACTATCTCTGCCTTCCAAAGGTGTTCACT